ACGAATTGCTCACGCTTCGCATCATTTCATTTTCGAGCCGTTGATGGATTTGTCGCTTTATGGCACTTGGATGCTTTTCTCCAACACACACACACACACACACATATTCACAGATTTAAAGTAAGTTTCAGTCGGCAGCAGTTGCATTATGTTTGCTGCTTCGAATACGATTGCTGTCTGATCCTGAATCGCTTACAAAATACCTTTGACTAATGCCAAGCAAATTATTTAATATATCACTCGGTGTAGCGGAAACGTGCGGTTACCAGATGCAGTATGCAGACTCTACACGGTCTGGAAGCTAAGGAATTCCAGGATATTCGAATTGAAGATATACAAATAATTTTGAATTGCTGCAACTAAGCTCAAATAGTTTAAAATTAATAAATATGGGAAGAGCTCCTTTTTTTGGAATATCTATACTTTTTTCTCAAAGGGAAAAATGGTTTGGTGCAATGTCCGTCCGTTTGAACGCAATCCATTTCGGCGCTATGAAATTTAGGGCATATACTCATGAATACCGTCGTTCGATACGGTGTCCAGATATTGGGTAGAGCAGCATCGCTACTACTATTACTATTATTTTGTACAGCAGATATATACAGACATATGTATGTACTCTGCATATACCGTCGATTCCCGATAATTCGAAAAGGGGATACGTTTTTTCTTTCACAGAAATTCAATTTATCGAAAATTATCGAGAACGAATTTTTTTTAGGGGAGAGAATTAAAAAGTACGCTCTGGCTCTTCTTCTTCTGCTTAAGCTATGCACGATCATCGCACTCACGGCAACTATCGACAGCCTCACAGTCATCGATTTGGTTAAGTATAGATGTATGTACATATGTATGTATATGTATTGATATTTAACCATAGTGCTGATCCGCTCTCTCTTATTGGCCATTCAAATTGAAAATGAAAATATCATTTAAATACTTCTATATGTATGTACATATATATATTTACATATATAACTACAGCTCTACAGTTCTCGATCGAACCAATGTACCCATTCGCTATGCAGCAGACACAAAGCTCTTAAAAGCTACCAACTGCACATAGGACCAATATGCACAAGGGGAGTAAGTGATTGAGTGAAAAGTGTGTCGGGTATGCAGAGTGATCGGGGAGGGCGGAGGGGGGCACGACTATGTCTGTGTGTGCTCTCGTCGTTGAGCATGTGAATGATGGCGCATTGCATGTGACAGCAACGACTTCTAACTGGGCACGGCTCACTGCCAGTCGACTGTCAACTAACTGCACTAAACTGTGCTCGACTCTCACTCTCTCTCTCTCTCTGTCTCTGCGTGTGTGTGTGTGTGTGTGTGTGCGTTGACTCCCATTAGACTTTGAAGTGTTGACAGCCAGGCCTTGACTGCACTATACACTGCTCCACTTCCATCTACTCCATTCGCACCACCCGCACCACCGCCCCCGCCTCTGGCTGGACATGGCTGAAAAATATGATTGGCCTGCTGTGCCGTGCGCTCCCCATGTGTTAATGGGATTCGGCCTTTGGCTGCGAGCGGAATGCGCTGAGCAGGCCATTTAAGCGCTTTATTTGTCGCTTCAGTATTAATTAAATGCTTACAAAACCAAACACGACATCAAACAATGCACAAACGAGCTGACAACAGCAGCAGCAGCAGGAGCAGCAGGAGCAGAAGGAGCAGCAGGAGACGAATCGGAATCATACACCACAGTTGCCAGCGAATTATCATGCTCAATGCTTAACAAATTATTTCAGATCTACTATGCACAACTTATTAATTTTTTTTTTTAATAATCTATAATAATTAAAC